GTCTTAAAAGTTCGCAGATGCTTCAAGAATGGGAGGCGTGTCGTTGACGAAATGTGGCTCTCGCCTCAGCAAAGCGCACATTCGTCTTACAAGTTCGCAGAGCCTCACGCATAGGGGCGGCTTTTTTGAAAATGCGGTCCTCGCTTTAGCGCCGCGCCCATTCGTCTTAAAAGTGTGCAGAAGTCTCAAAAATTAAAGGTGTGCCGCTTCCAAAGTGTAGCTCTCGCCTCAGCGAAATGCACATTCGTCCGGAAACAAATTCGGGGGAACAAAAAACTGCAAGGATAGAGGGCGGCTAGGCTTCAACTGTGGCTCGTCTCAGCGCCGCGAACATTCGTTTTAAAAGTTTGCGAAGGCTTCATAGATGGAAGGCGTGTCGTTTCCAAGATGGGGCTCTCACCTCAGCGAAACGCACATTCGTTTAACATTCGAAAAAGGCTTCACGGACGGATGGCGGCTCGTTTTCAAAATGTGGCCCTCGTCTCAGCACCGCGCACATTCGTGTTAAAACTGTGCGCAAGCTTCACGGATGGAGAGCGGACCGCGTTCAAAATGTGGATCTCGCCTCGGCGCCGCGAGCGTTCCTTTTGATAGTTTGCAACCGCTTCACGGATGGAGGGGGTTTCCTTCTCACAGTGTGGCTCTCGCCTAAGCGCCGCGGACACTCGTTTGAAAGTTTGCGAAACTGCACGGATGAATGGCGGTTCCTGTTCAAAATGCGGTTGCTGCCTTAGCGGCCAGCGCATTCGTCTTAATAGTTGGCAATGGCTTCACGGATGGAGGGAGGGTCGGTTTCAAAGTGTGGCTCTCGCTTTGGCGCCGCGTGCATTCGTCTTAAAAGTTTGTAAGGGCTTCACGGATGGAGTGGAAGTCTTTTCAAAAAATGACTCTCGCCCTAGCGCCGCGCGCGTTCGTTGTAAGTTTGCAAGAAGTTCGCAGACGGAGTGCGGCTCTGTTTCAAAATTTGGCTCTCGCCCTAGCGCCGCGCAGAATCGTATTAAAACTCTCAAGCAATGTAGCGGATTCGTATGGTCGACGCCCAAGGAATGGTGTTCTGGCACGATGCAGGATCGCGAGGGCACTTTGGAAGTCGAACCTTCACTCAGACTGGGGGGATATCCATAACGTATGGAGAAAGCCTGGAGAAAGCAGGTCGGACGTCCATTTCGAAGTTTTGATATCCGTTGGGTGGTGCACCCGATTGGCCAACTCTCTGCCCCGAATCGCGCCCCAACGGCCCCGCAAGGGCCCAAACAGGGGCCCCGGGAGGCCGAGAGCAGCGCTGAACCCCGGGATCCGTTTCCCTCGGGATCCATTCTCCTTCGGTAGCAAATCATGGGAGGTTTGTGTACCCTCGCAGTTCCGTCTTTAGAGGGAACGAGAGTCGATTAGCGTCGGGAACTCGTTTGGATAGCGCCGATTTAGCGTCGATTAGCGTCGATCTCGCGACGATTCGCAAGAGCTCATTCAGATGGTATGGGAGGCTCCCATGAGTTGCTGCCAGATTCTCCTGAGGAGCCCAGCTGGTCGAGCAGCATCAAGACCGAGGTTCGACCTGCACTCTGGAAACGGATCTCCTCCAAAGCCTGCGCTCCTCCTGCGAAGCAGCTTGGCATCGAGCCCCGCCAGGTCCCCTCGCGGGGTCCGCACCCGGCCAGCCCCTCAGACCGTGACGATCGCCTTCAGAAACACCCCGAGACCTTCGAAACGACGACGACGACGACGACGCGGCTCGGCCGGCGGGGCCCGCGACGACGACGACGACGACGACGACGACGACGACGACGACGACGACGACGACGACGACGACGACAACAACCACAACCACAACGACGACGACGACGACGATGACGACTGCGGGGCGAGCTTTCGCGCGCGCGCGCGCGTCAATCCTCGGCGCCCTGGTCGGCCGCCGTTGCGTTGCGCGCGGCCTCCACGGGTACGCCTGGGCGGCCCTCCGACGTCGCCGCCGCCGCTGTCATCGCCGTCACCGCCGTCGTCGGTGCCATCGCCGTCGTCGTCGTTGTCGTCGTTGTCGGAGGAGGAGGAGGGGAAAGAAAAGGAAGAGAAGGAGAAGGAAGAGGAGAAGGAGGAGGCCGAACGTCCCCAAGAAATGGGAAGTCAGACGCGAGACGCGCAGCGCGGGCGAAATCCGCCGCTTCGGAGTCCGAGGGCACCCATCCGCCGAACCTTCTCCATCTGTTGTGGAGGAGGCGATGGCAGTGAGAAAGAATAGCGACCAACCACAGCCGAGGAAGGGGGCAAAGACAGAGGGTCAAACATTGGAGCATCGAAGACGGCGACGGCATCCCAGCAGTCGCCCGCGTAAGGAATCCAGGGCATCTCGCGTGGAGAGCGAGAGAGTCTGAGGCATCACAGCCCATGATGAAACTTTGAGGAAAATTGAAGTGAATGACAGCACGACGAAACCCCAAAATGCAGCACACAAGGCAAACAACAACAATAAGCTTGGACTCGGGCGGAGAGGGAAGAGGAATGAGGCGGATGATAAGAGAGAACGAGGAAGGCGAAGTAGGCAGCATGGTTGCCAAAATCTCTGCCACGCGTACTGGAAGCCTACGTAAACACTGGACAGATCGCCCCTTGGCCCTCGACCAATCCCACGCAAAGGGGCGAGCATATATATTTATATATATATATATATACATATATTTACATATATGTATATGTATATGTATATGTAAATGTACATGTATAGGTAGATGTATATGTTTATGTACCTGTATGTGTATCAGTATATGTATATGTGTGTATTTGCATTTATATCTGCATATGTATATGTATGTGTATATGTAGATGTGTGTGTGTGTATATGTATATGTATATGCAGATGTGTATGTATATGTATATGTATACGCAAATCTGCATGTATATATATATATATATGTATATGTATGTGTATATTCATATGTTCATGTACATGTACATGTGCATGTGCATGTATATGTATACGTATATGCATATGTATTTGCAAACGTAAATGTATATGTTGATGTATATTATATGTATATGTACATGTATATGTATATGTATATGTATATGTATATGTATATGTGTTTGTATATGTGTATGTATATGTATAAGCATCTGTATGTGTAAATGTATATGTAAATGTGTATGTATACGTATATGTATACGTATATGTACATGTATGTGTATGTTTGTTTGTATGTATATATACATCTATATATACACGGGCGCAGCACCGCGCTAGATGTGTGGCAATTGCTTGGGCCTATCAGGCGAGGACCCAATACTGCATCGCGCGGCGTACGGGTGCCAGCGCCGAGCGCGAGGCTACTGCCACCTCCCTCCTCATCCTCCCCCCGCCTCCTCCTCTTTCTCCGTCCATATGCCACCTCCACTCTTCCCAATCATCCGTCATCCTCGTCCTCCTCCCTCACCCTCCCTCCCCCAATTCCTAAAACTGCCAGCGAAATATCCTCACCCCTCTGGTCTAAAACTGCCAGCGAAATATCCTCACCCCCCAGGCATACATACCCTCACCCACCAAATATAAAATGCCAGCAAAACATCTTGAGCCCCCTGGCCGAAAATTGCCAGCGATCTATCTTCATCACCCTGGCGTAGACTAGTAGCGAAATATCCTCAGCCACGAGAGATAAAACTGCCGGCGAAATATCCTCACGCCCCTGGCCTAAACTGCCAGCGAAATGCCCTCACGCCCCTGGCGTTAAACTGCCAGCGAAATACCAAATCCGGCTGGGACACCCGGCGCACTACCAGAGGGAGGAGAGAGGGAAATCGTTTTTACAGGCGGAATTCTGGGGGTGAGTCCCTCTAGACCACCGCCCCCGCCCCTTTGGACGGTGGCCCGCGCGCCTACGCAAGGTGGTCGGGGAGGGGGAAAGCGAACGCAGCCCGCGCCAGAACGGCTGCAGGGGGGGAGAAGGAAGCGAGAGAGAGCGCACGGCAAAAGGCTGGATTAAGCTGTAAAGGAGGGAAGCCCCAGTAACAGAGACAAGTCTGGCTGGGACACCCGGCACACTACAGGAGGGACGGGAGATGGAGACCATCTTCACTGGCGGAATTCCGGGGACGAGTCCCTTCGGACCACACCGCGCTCGCGCCAGGCCCCCCCGTCCCCCAGTCCGCCGCTCCGCGTCGCTACCGTCGTGACAGACCGCGGGCGGGCGTCTCCTCCACGCGCCCCGCCGCACCCGCCCACTGCCCCGCAGTGGGGGGGGGAGGCGGGCGCCGCCTCAGCCTCGGCGCCGGCAGCAAGTGCGCCAGGCGCCTGGGCCAGCCCAGGCGCGGCGCCAACGGCGCTGGCGGCGGCTGCAGCTTGCGTGGCGCGGAGGGCTGCCCCGGGAAGCGCCGGGGCGTCCACGCCCCCCCCCAGCGGCGCACATGATGCACCGTCCGGCCATGATATCGAACACACTCGGAGGGGGTCGAAGCCTGAGGCGGACCAGGCGGGCTTGCTGGCTTGAGCCCTAAACCCCTAGGCCCTAGACCTGACCACGAGCGCAGTGCGGCGCTTGAGCCATACGTCCGCACGACCCATATCGGCACACCCCTCACACGTTCCGTGGCCCCGTAGGGAGCTCCACCCGAAGCCCCAGCGGCAGGGCTCACATGCGTCCGCACAATCCATCTCGGCACATCCCTCACAAGCTTCATGGTTCTATAGGGAGCTTCACCGAAAACGACTCTCACAAGTGCGTTACTCACAAATGCATTTGGTTGGGCCACTCGCCAGGATGATCTCCTCCCCAGAGTGGATGCAAAGGCATAGATGGGGATGCTGGGGCATCCCAAGGAATGGATACCACGATTGTGCAAGAGCAAACGTGCTACAATATGCAATCCGAGGACAGGCCTGTGTAGCCAACTCATGGGAAAGACACTCCATAGCCTCCCTTCGGCCACGATGTGGAGAATCACCTGCTTCGCACGCCTTCCTCGTCCCCCTCCTCCCTCCACTATTCCCCCCTGCTGCCGCACATCCTCTGCCTCGTTTTCGCAGGGCTTCTCTACCCGCGGGGCCATCCTCGCTGGATCCGCACGTGACGGGCTGCAATATTGCTGCAGCTTGTGCTGGCCTCTGAGAGGCTCCCGGTCAGCTGTCCAGCTGCGTCAGCGCCGCCGCACCGCACCGCACCCAATGTTTCTGGTCCAGGGCGGAGCGCAGGCCGATTCTGAAGATCGGGTCCGTGGTCCCCGCTACTGTCTGCTGAGGCATCGTGTGCCTGGGGGAGCAGGAAGAAGACGAGGTCGCTGGCACGCACTCCCTGGATCACTCCTGGTGCGCGCTCTAGATTCTCAGAATCATGCTGCGAACCCAGTCGTGGCGACGGAGGGCCCCCCAAGAGGCCCAGAGAAGCGATCACGAGGCAAGGCAAGATCAGGGAGCATCGCATATCGGGACCTTGGACTGGACCGACATGTGCGTTGGATCGGGCTGCATCGGCACTGAGTCGAAACCGAGTCGGATCGGCCGCGCCAGGATGCACAACAGCGCCCTGCAACCGTCGGGCCACATCCAGTCGTCGGAATCGGATCGTGCCGGCCGAGACCGAGTTCATGTCGGATCGGATCGATCGATATCGAAATGGGCCCTGCAGGGGAGTCGGCGTCGGCACGCTTCATCCCTTGGAGTGAACAATTTGGTGGTTAGTGTGGCGATGGCGGTTACTGTTGTGTGCCTGCGCAGTTACAAGCTACCCAAGCAGGCCTAAACACCATTTCGTAGTTCACATGGTGGCTGGTTTTGCAAAAACGGTCTTCCCAGGACCAACACCCCGCCAACCACCATTTGGTATCACGAGATGGTGGCGTGCCTCGGGCTCACATCTGGATGTGTCAAGCCTGTCTGCGCGCCCACTCGACCGCCAATGTCCCAACCACCAGTCTTTCCAATTCGAACTCCCCAGGCGGCCCCCGCAGGGGTGTGCAGTAGACGGGGCAGCGGTAGCGCCCCGAGTCTGGCGCGAGCCGCGCCGGGGCGCCCTCCGGGCCGTCGGGCCCCAGCAGTCGCGCCCCGATCTGCACGGGCGGCAGCGGCACCGGGAGCGCCCCGACGCCCGGCTCCAGCTCGGCCAGGTGGCGGGCCGCCGGGTCCCAGCGGCAGCCCTGCAGGAAGAGGCCGTGAGCCCACACCCCGAGGCCGCGCGCTCCCCATGCGGCACCATCCCCTTCGTCGCCACCCGCCGCGTGGCCGGCCAGGGCCGCCGGTGCCTCGCCGGGTGCCGCGGCGGCGGCGGTCGCCGCGCTCTCGACGATGGAGGCCGCCGCGGCCGTGGCCACGGAGGCTGCCACGGCGCCAGGGTCGGCGTCGCTGGGGTCGCTGAAGTCAACCTCGACGCCGTCCGCAGGCACACCGAGCCTCTCGGCGAGCTCGCAGCGTGCCGCCGCCAGGAAGGGCCGGACGGCGAAAAGGCCCGGGAGCCAGAACTCCGCAGGGGGCGCGCCCCGAGCGGCCCACTCGTTGATGAAGAGGACGCGGTCGGCGAGGTCCTCGATGTAGCTGCGGAGGGGCTTGGGCGACAAGTACGACAGCGCCAGCCACGCCGCGGGGACGCGCCCCTGCGCCACGGACAGCAGCAGTGCCTCGTCGTCGGCCCCGGGCACCTCCCTGCCCTCGCGGCAGGCGCTGCTGCGCTGCAGCGAGCCCTCGACTGCCCCCAGCAGGGCCCCGTACCGCTGCACCTCCCGCTCCAGGGCGAGCTCGAGGTGCCCACCCTCCGCCGCGCCCTCTCGCCAGCTCGATGGGGCCTCCGCCAGTGCAGGCAGGGAGGCCAGCAGCGGCACGAGCGTGAGCGCGAGGCACTCCCAGGGGTCCGGCACGCCCGCCTCGCCGCCCTGCCCTCCGCCCGCCGCAGCGAGGGCGCCGTGGGCGGCAGGGAAGGCCACCGCCAGGTCGCAGAGGAGCTCCTCGGCCACCCTGCGCTCGAGGTGCGCCTGCGCGCCGCAGCTGAAGCCGCAAACCGCGGGCAGCGAGGGCTCCGGCACGCTCTCCAGCAGTGCCAGCACGGCCTGTGGGCGGCGGGCACGGGTGAGTGCTCCGCCGGCAGCGCCGGGCTGGAAGACGTCAATGAGCGCCATCAGCATGGCCTGGTCCTGCGGCCCCGCCCCGCCGTAGCCGCAGTCGAGCAGCGCGAGGCCCAGCGCCCTGGCGGGGTCCTCGTTGGGGCTCTGCTGCGCGAGGCACTGCAGCTCGTGCGCCGCCGACACCAGGTCCTGATGTTTCACCGCGTACGGCGTGCTCCATCCCAGCGCGCCAAAGTCGAGGCGCGCGGCCGCGGCGCCGTGCACCAGCGCGAGCGTCCGTGTGGCCTCGTCGACACTCCTCGGGAGCTTGACGCCGTCAGTGTGCGGCATCGCCTCCAGCGCAGCCTTCAGCTGGGCCTTCACGCCCTGAGGGGGCCCGCATGCGAGCCTCAGGCTCTCGAGCAGCACGGACCGCGGGAAGCACGCGCCAGGCAGGCACGAGATCCAGAGCCTGAAGTCCGCGTGGCGCGGGTCGCCGCTGTGGAGCTCCTCGCACAGCCCGGCGAGGTCGCCCGCGCTCTCGGGCGCGAGGTGGCAGTTCTCGAGCAGTGCCCACGCCCCGGCCGCGGACGCCTCCGCGACGGCCGCGGCGGCCAAGGGCCATCGGCCAGGGCCGAGGGTCACGGCGCGGAGGCGCCTGCTGGAGGCGCCCGCCGAGCAGAGCAGCGCGGGCAGCGGGTCGAGCCCCGGCGAAAGGAGCAAGACCTCGGGGCGGGGGGGAGACGTACTCGGGTGCAGCACCACCAGGCCCTCCCCGGGCAGGCCCGCCTGGGGCCAGATTTATATGTGTTGCCCTTGGGCAACATATTCTGTTCGGGCCTCGCCTTTCACCTCCTCCCCCCGCCTCCACAAAAGTGGGCGGCGTGGGGGGCGTTCGTGAGGGGACGGGGTGGAGTCTGTACGAAGGTGGTGCCGCGCCGAATGCAACTTCGTTTCATTTGTGTGTTCACGTCTCGAGCTCTTGGGCTCAAGCGTTAATGCAGACGCCCGAGTTTCTTTGGATCTCCACTCCTTCGGATTCTGCCTGCAGCGATAGCTCGTGGGCTCCGATCTGGGAGGCGTCGAACGCGTGGTCGAAGGTGCGGGAGTGGGCTCCAGACCTCGACTCTTGTGGGCAGGGCTTCTTCACAACGGCGCGCCTCGGCTTCGGACCGCTGGCGGTATTCCTGTGGACCTTGTTCACGGTGGTGAACGATGTAGACGATCTCGGGTCGGACGAGCCCGACAGCAGTCAGATCGAGGCGCTGATGCCGGTGGAAGCATGGAGCCGTCGGTACTATCGTCAGAGCGCTACGGATGCAGTGGAGGTGGCCTTAGTGAGAAGGAAGTCGGGGAATCGCTGGGCTGTGTTGATACCTGGTATGACGTTGGGGTTGATTACGATTACTGCGAAATCGAGACTGTTCTCGGACCCGATCGAAGGTATTCGGTGGAGACCTCTTCCCCTACTGACGGAGCAGCAGAAGTCCTCGGTCATGGCTCAGGCGACGCAGGGTCTGCAGGCAGGGACGGTGCCAGAATTGCCTCTCTACCGCCTGGGTGGAGCGACTCAGCAAGCTCTGGCTACGAATCTGATCTACACCCTCGTGACTTCCTGGCGGCCGGCTCTGAAGACGCTGCGCTGGTCGCTGCGGAGCCCGAAGCGTTTCCTGGGAGTGTTGGCATTGCTGTTCGTGCTGATGGAGTGCCTGAAGATGTTTGGGGTGGTCTCCTACCTGTACGATACCGCCCTCGCTGTGCTCGTGACTCTGCGGGCCGCCCGCATTCCTTTGGTCGAGAGCTCAGAAGCTCTCCAGGAGTGGGGAGTGCACTTGAACGAGTGGCTCGAGTGGGGGCGGCGTGTAAATGCCTTTACAGCGGTAGTTCGCCTTGTTGGCGGCGACGGGTCTGCTTCTCGCTTGGGGCCTGCACGAGTTCACCGATGTGGCGGACGGCGGGCAGTCTTCAATGGGGACGTCGTCGACGGTCTCAGCCCCCCCTTCGGGGTGAGTGGTTGGGCCGCCTCCACTCCCTCCGCCAGTTGCCCCAGCTGCGATGGACGGGGCGTGGGCGAGCCAGCTCAAGGACCTGGCGGAGTCTCAGAAGGCCATGGCATGGCGGAGGAGCTCAACGAGATGAGGATCGCGGAGAGGACTCGAGAGCTGCGGCGGAGCACACCCGAGGAGAGCGGTGCTGGAAGCTCCGCAGTGGCAGAGGAGGCGAACCGCCAAGTATTGAAGGACATGATGAGCAGGCTCGACAGCGTGGAGGCGAGGGTGCGCGGCGAGCCTGGGCCCAGCGAGGGCCTGGGGGGTCCCAGCGGAGCTCCGGCTATGGAGAGCTCGCCAGCGAAAGGGTCTTCGGGTTCTGCTGCGGCGATGCTCGAGACGCCCGAGAAGAGGGCGGCTTCGACTCACCCGGAGGCGGTGGAGTTGGCCATCGAGCGGATGCGGTTCAAGGCTCAGTCCCCGCAGCAGGTCTTCTTGGAGCAGCTGGACGACTACGAGGAGCAGCCCGCCGCCGAGTGGGCCACGAAGATGCCGGAGGATTACCGCGAGCGGATCTCGTCGGAGGTGCTGGCGGACATCTGCTCGACGGGGAAGACGGCGGAGGCGTGGGCTCGGGACTTCATCAGGGACCACGGGCTCATGGAGTGCCACGCGGCTCGGGAGATGGTGGCCGCCTTCGGTGCCGTGGATACGATGCTGATGACGGGATCGGCAGAAGGGCTTGCTGAATCAGGTGAGCTTCGAGCGGCTGGTGAGGAAGGCGTATGCCCTGGCCCGCGCGTACCGCAACGTCCACTGCAAGGACGACTGGAGCCGCCCGAAGGATGCCAAGAGCTGGAAGACCAAGGTGGACTGGGAGGCTGCTCGCCGCCTGGACCCCCAGCTCTCGGAGGAGGGGACCCTGAGGGTGATGAGCGCGGAGGAGGAGGTGAAGAAGGCCATGGGTCGGGATGCGCAGCTGATGAAGGCGCGTGCGGATCTCGACAGCGGGGGGGCGGCCCCGCCTTGAGCCATCCAGAGCTTCAATTGGGGTCCGCTGTGCCAGCTGCGCGGCGGAGCCCGTCAAGTCACCGGTCGCTCCTGGGCTGCTGGTGGCTTTCTTCCAGATTCTTCGACCACTTGAGGTTGGGGTCCTTTGCCGAGAGTGACTGGGATCTCTACGTATTTGCGTGCGCGCCAATTTGGGGCTTCTATGTCGAGGCGGCGGGGCACCTTGTCCGAGGTGACTCTCTTCCCCAAGCCCGCTCGGCCCCCATCGTCGTCGAGGAGGGTGGCTTCACGGTGGAGGTCGGAGGTGGGGTGGCTGAACCGTGCGAACCGTTGCCTTCTCGCCCTGCGTCAACTGTACCAGGGGAGCTTCAACGACGAGCTTCTCTCGGGCCAGGGGGTGTGGGGCCAGGGGGGGGTGCCGGACAACATGGACGGGGATCTCGCGAAGCGTATGCTGAGCGAGGTGCGTCGGTTGCAACCGCCGTCGTCGACGCCCTAAGGAGGAGCCGCGATGCTGTGGCTGCGTCATGCCGCTTCGGCGTCGGACCACCAGTCACGGTGTACCTACGTGCAGAAGGTCGCCGAGCTGGGAAGGAGGCTGGCTGGTGGCTGCGGGAGGCTGCCGGAACGGGGCGAGACGTTCCCAGCTCAATAGGATCGAGTGGCCCTACCTCCCCCTGGTTCGAGGCTAGTCAGTGCAAGGTCTGTGTCGCCTCGTGTGGCACAGAAACTGGAGGGTTTCAAGACGGAGATGCTGAAGACGGATGGCGAGGAGTGCGTACAGAGTGCCGAGGTGAAGAATTACGTGGATCAGCACTTCCGCCGGAAGAAGAGCATGATGGGCCTGGCGAGGCGGATGGCCTCGGCGGGTATATGCTGTGCAGGTGCGAGGAGGAGGTCGACGAGGTCGGGCTTTTCTGCGTGGTGAAGAAGGCTGAGGTGGTGGGCTCCGAGATCGAGGTCGCATTGAGGCTGGTCTTCGATCAGCGGCGCTCCAACTTTCGCTGGCAGCGGCCGCCGTGGTGCGCCATGGGAGGAGTGAGCGCCACGTCCTATCTCGACGTCTCGGAGGAGATGAAGGAGCCAGGCGCGGAGATGAAGTTCGGTACGGGCGACCTCCCCGACTGCTATTACACGCTCGACCAGGGGGAGGAGCTGGCGCCCTACTGTTTGCTGCCTACAGTGAAGGCGAGTGATCTGGTGGCCTCCCTGCCCGACGACGTGGTTCTGGCGGGTCAGAGGGAGTGCCTGGGTATCCGCGTGGCGCTCATGGTTTTTCGTGGGCGTGCTGGATGGCTCAGACCACGATGGAGGACTTGTTCAACGGAGGTCCTCAGGTGGGTCTGGCCTGCCTCTCGGAAGAGCAGCGTCTCGCCGAAAGCGGCCACCTCCCCCAGATCTCCCGCGAGGCGCCGGCCGTCCACTACGAGTACATCGACGTTCGGGATCATCCGCGTGGACTTTGCGGCCTCGGGGAGCGACCCGACGCCTCCGCGAGCGCGGGACCTGTGGCTCGGAGCCAAGAGTTTGGTGAGATCCGCGGGTTTCCAGGTGCACAAGGACGACTGCGCGAACGAGGCGAGGATGATCGGCGGGGACTTCTCGGGGACGCGCCTGGCGCCGAATCAGAACAAGATGTGGGTCGTGGTCGCGGGGATCGGGGAGATCCTGGAGAAGCAGGTGGAGAACCCAGACGCGGTGGCTCGCATCGTGGGCATCCTGTCCGGGGGCTTCCTCCTGTGCCGAGGTGCGCTGCTGAGGGAGTTGGCGGTGGCTGCCGCGATCGTGCCGCTGGTCTCGGTAGACCTGGCCATGCCCTGGGACCCCCTGGTGACGATGTTCGATGCCAGCCTGTACGGAGGGGCCATCATCGGCACGGACAGCACCATGGAGAAGCAGCGTCGCGAGGCCCGATTCGCCGTACTAGGGGGCTGGACTGTATGGACGGGTATCTCCTCTTCTTGGGCTGCCGAGCAGTGGTCCGAGGGGGGGGCCTACCTGCGCGTGGTGGAGGGCGTCGAGCTGGGGACCCGCATCAGGGTCCCGCTGGTCAACGGGCGCTGGGACGACCTGTCGAGTCGAGGTGGAGGGAGCTCATGAGGTGGAGGTGAGACGAGCCCGAGCACATCAACATCCTGGAAATGAGGACTGGCCTCGCCTGCGTACGGAGGTCTGCGAAATCGCCAGCGAGCTGGGACCGACATCTGAGGATCACCGACTCCATGGTCTGCCTGGGCGGCTACGCCAAAGGGAGGTCCGCCAGCGCGCCGATCTTGATCTCGTGCAGGCAGATGGCCTCTTTGGACCTGGGGTGCGGAATGAGGGAGCACTGGGGGTGGGTGCCCTCGGATCGGAATCACAGCGACGGACCCGATCGGGCAGGCCCCAAAGTACAGGAGCGAGACGGGGGTGGTGCTGCCTTCCCCGGCGGCGGAGGCCATGGAGGAGCTGGTCGCGATCGCCGAGGAGGATCCTTTCGAGCCGCTGCGCTGCCGGCCTGTGATCTCGGTGCGGGGGCCTGCGCTTGGTCCACCTCTGCAGCGGACACGCGAGGGAAGGGGACCCTGGAGTACTGGCTACTGCGTCTGGCGGCTCTGCGAGGTTACCTCCTGGTGTGCACGAACGCGGACGTGGGCTTCGGACCCGACTTCGACCCGACCGACGAGGTGGATGTGAGGAAGTGGGAGATGTTCTCGGAGGCAGCCGCGGATGGAGGCCATGCTGGGCCTTCGTGCGCCACGTGGTCTCGTGTGCGCTTCCAGCCAGGCGGTCCTCCCCCTCTACGGCTGCGAAGCCATCTCTGGGGGCGACCTGGGCTGCGAGGACGGGTTTTCCGAAACGTGGAGCTGGGGAACCCGCGCAGTTGCTGAGCAGTCTGAGGATCCTGCGGGCGATTGGGCGGAAGGGCGGCTCTGTGTCGCGCGAACATCCAGCCGACCCCCGGGGTACCTCCGTTCCCTTCCAGCTTCATCACCGAGGAGCTGCTGAATTGGGAGAAGGAGCTAGGTGCGTATCGGGTGACGTTCCCGCAGTGTATGTGGGGACGCCCAGCTCTGAAGATAACGACCCTGACGGGAACCGCCAAGAAGATGGGCCACTTCGTGCAGCCGTGCACCCACGAGACGCACCTGGCGAGCCTGCGCGGGAAGAACGAATGCGGGAAGCTTCGAAGCCGAGTTGCCCAGTGCTATCCATCGGAATTCTGCCGAATGTTGGCGGAGTGCCATCTGGACGCCATGTTGACGGGCTGCGAGAGACGGAAGGTGCAGCTGACCGAGCGCGCGATCCAGGAGAAGATCACGGACACGCTGGAGCGGAGGCGCCGAGACCGGGCGCCTGCGTGCTCGCTACCCCCCTCGTTGGCTGCAGCCGCGGGTTGAGGGCATCGTGGGCCTACGTATCCAAGTCCTGGGGTGGGGCCTTTGGAGGTCACCCAGGCTCAGCGTTGCCTCGCTCTTGCCAGATGGTGGGTCAGAACCCCTCGAAGTGTCTAGGCACTGGTCACCCTCGCTGGAGAGGACAGCGTCGCCACGTTGTGAGCTCGAGGCCTGGTCAGAACCCCTCGGAGTGTCAGGCACTGGTCACCCTCACGGCAGAAGGCAGACGGTACCCGGCTCCGAGGGTCAGCGTCGCCACGCGGTTCGCCGAAGCAGGGGCGTGCTGGGACCAGATCGACACCTCCGTTGGCTGCTGGTGAGCTCGCTCGTGCTTCCCCTGACGGCGGCCCCGGAGGAGAGGCTGCGGTACCACGCTCAGGACAAGAAGGCTGGGAGGACTCATCGTCGGAACGAGCTGGAACGCAGCCAGTCGGTGGACATGGGCGCCCGAGTGCGAGCAGAGGGGGGTCTGTCCCTCTTGGCCCTCTCGGTCGCGGCCAAGACAGCGCTGGGATGCTACATACCAAACGTTCGGCGCTTCTTGCAGTACGCCCTGCAGCACGACCTTCCAATGATGAGCCGCGACGAGATCGACTGCTCGGTCCCGGTCTACCCGGACGAGCTCGTGGAGGACGGCGAGGCCGGCCCCCACCGGGGCGACGTCGTGGTGCATGGCCTGGCCCACAGAGCACCCGCCTGCCGAGGGCGAACCGCGCGCTGAAGCCCTGGCACCGCATGCACGTGGCCCAGCGAGGGCGGACCTCCGCCGCTGGAGCTGTGGGCCTGCTCGAGACGATGCGAGTCTGGGGACACGTCGAGGTCGCCGAGGGTCTCGAGCTGGCGCTGGACACCTGCCTCCGCTCTGCCGAGCTTCTCAGCCTGCGAGTCGTCGACGTGATGGTCACCGACGGCGCTGACGGCAGTCGAGCGGGGCGAGCGTGCCAAGACGGGGGTGAGGCAGGGCGTCCTGACTGACCGTCAGCATGTGGCACAGATGGTACTGCGACGGCGAAGCTCGAGGAAGCAGGACGAGCGACTCTTCAGCATGACGGCCGACCGCTACAGACACGTCCTACGCCAGGCTTGCTCCGACGTGGGAGTCGCGGCCTTCCCAGCCCACTCGGCCCGCCACTCGGGGCCGAGTCACGATGCGGCGGTTGGCTACAGGACAATCTGGCAGATACAGCGGAGAGGGCGGTGGGCGTCTGAGAAGAGTGTGATTAAGTATATGAAGACCCACGCCCTGGTGGCCGCGAGAGAGGCCGTGCCAGCTGACATCCTCGAGAAGGGTGCAGAGCTGCTGCGCGCCAGCCGGCGCCCTGAGCGAGCAAGAGAGTGATGAGTTTTTTTGCCAATGAACTGATCCTTCCAGTCAATTTTTGCTGCTAATGGTTCAGATGCGGCCGTGTCTGTGCGCCCTTCCGCCCAGCCCGGCACGTCACGGCCAGACGCTGGTGTTGCGGTGGTGTGGGCTTGTGCGGGCCAGCACGCATGTCGCGTCCAGCCCCGAGGTCCACCCACCAGCGAAGGATGTTCGCCTCCACAGCACGTGTGAGGCCTCAGTAATTCGAGGAAAAATGTCTGTGCTATTTTATGCTGGCGCCACTTTTCGTTGTTTTCTCTCTCGCGTAAGGTGATGTTCGACGGGTGCCTCGAAAATGGAGTTATCGGCTCTGGGCCGGGCTGGGAGGCCATGCGAGTTCGACGTGTTGGGAGGCCATGCGATCGAGGAATTGAATAGTCTTACGCGCGATGCCGTAGCAACCTTACGCGGTGACTTGCGCAGGCCGCCAGCGCGGCACGCTACATTGGAAACGAGGGCTCTTGCGCGCGACCTTACGCGGGCAGCTTGAACGCGAATGTCCGCGCAGTCGAACCCGTTTGTGTGTGTGGGGGGTGGGGCCTGGTGGTGGCGTGAAGTACATACCTTCCGTCCGAAGAACCACAGGCAGCTCCGGCCCAGAGTCCTCGGCGGCGTGCGCCAGCAGCTCCTTGAGCTGCGGCCGTGGAGCGGGCCTGCCCGCGACGCCCAGGGCCTCCTCGGCCCAAGCCACGAGGGCCTCCGACGCCGCCTCGGGGCCGACGCGCCGCAGCGCGAGCACCCTCTGGAGCACAGACAGCCGCTCCGAGCCCTCCTGGAGCAGAGCGTCGGGGTCGCCTGCTGCGACGAGGGCGCCGTGCCACTGCTCGGGCCGCGCCAGCGTCGGCAGGGCCTGGCAGTCTTCGGCGCTGGCGCTGAACGGGGAGCCGGCCGGCTCGAGCCGGCCGACGCCCAGGGCAAGCACCACTGGCAGCAGGGCGCGGTGTCGCGGGAGCAGCGACCTGCCGACCTCGGCCAGCAGCGCGTTCGTGAACGCCTCCCTCACGCCCGCGGCCTCGGCGAGGCGCCCCGCGCCCCGCCCCGCCGCGGCGCCGCCTGCGGAGGCGCCGGCCACCTCCATGCAGCAGCAGCCAAAGAGCCCCTCCAGCGACGTGACCGATTGCGCGTACATGGGGTCGAGGCGCTCCAGCGCCGCCAGGGACAGGAGCATTGCCGCCGCGTACTCCGCCAGCCCCACGAAGGCCGCCTCCGCGGCCGCCAGGCCGGCCTCCGCCATAGCTCGCGTGGCGGCCCGGTGGCGCTCGCCCGCGGTGCGCCCGCGCCGGGCCAGCTCGGCCATCGGCTCGTCCGAGAGCACGTCCCCTGGGGATAGCAGGCTCAGCTGCAGCAGCATCTCCTCGACGTCGGCGAGCACCACTCTTCGCTCGCCGGCGGCCGCGGCGAGGTCCGCACGCGGCTCGGCGCACGTGGGCTCCAGGTCGGACAGCAGACAGGCCAGGAGCCTGTCCTGGAGCGCCTCGGGGCAGACGCTGAAGTCCACCAGCGCCGCGCGCACGCAGGTCTGCGGCGAGAAAGCCGGATCGCTGAGCCAGGTGGTGAGGTACAGCCTGGAAACAACCTCCTCTCGGAACGGTTCGTCGTCCAGCGCCAGCTCCAGTCCGAAGGGGTCCTCGCCCCCCTCGCCCGCATCGGCCGACTCACCGCCAGCCGCCCTGGCCTCGGCAATGCCTGCCGCGGCCCTGGCTGCCACCTGCGCCACGCCTGCCGCGCGCCGACGATCCAGCACCTGCTCCAACTCTGGCGGCATCACCTCCCCCAGGCCCTCGAGCAGCACCGTCCGCCCAGCCTCCTCTGCCCTGGCCAGGGCCAGCAGCCACCCGCGCTGGCCCGCCGCCAACACCAGGAGGCCGCTGGGCTGCTCCATCGCGCGCAGCCAGCGGCCGGCTTGCCCCTGCGGGTCGATGCACAGCGGCGCCCGCCGCGCCAGCATCACAGCCGCAGCGCTCTCTGCGCCTGCGCAGGCGCCCGGCGGGCTTGCGGCCACCCACCGTCGCACTTCTGCCGGGCGCGTCAGGAAGTCTGCCAAGGAGAAGCCGGGGCGGGGCGCCAGGCCCTGCCCTTGCAGCTCGGCCGCCCATGCCTGCAGAGTATCGCGCCTAACGGCTGGCGGGAACGCGGACAGGTGCGTAGAGAGGGCGGCAGCCAGGAGGGAGTCACCCACGTCGTGGTGTGGTTGGCCGTCGCGCGGCGGGTGATCCTGCAGCAGCTCCCTGAGCAGGGCTACGCGTTCGAGCAGTGGCCCGTCCAGCGCGGGCTGCTCCTTCGAGTCTGGTACTTCCAGGGTGCCGAGCAGCCTTGCCGCACCCTCGCGGCAGACGCGGAGCCGCTCGCCTTCCGCCCGCCGAACTTCCAGCAGGCCATCGAAGTTCCTGATCAGATCCAGGAAGCTGGCGAAGGGCACGTGGTAGCGCCAACGCCCCTGCTCTGAGGCCAGCCGGTCCGCCAGGAGCGAGCTGGCGCTCTGAAGCCGCTGACACATCCTCGCGCAGGCGCAAGCCTGCTCCCCAAGACCATCCGCCAGCAGCCGCTTGGCCACGCTCTCGAGCGCGCTGGCAGGCCAGGGGTCGAACCAGTCGGTGGTGCAGCAGCGCAGCAAGGCCGGGAAACGCCGCAGCCTCTCGCGCAGCACGTCGGCGCTGGCGGGGAGGCACACCACCACGCGCAGGCGCTCCCGGCACCAGTGGCCCAGCCGGTGGTGGATCCGGGCCCAGCTCTTCTCCTCGCCGGCCCCGCGAGGCAGGGCCCCCATAGACTTCAACCCGCTGACCAGCCTGGAGGCGCTGCTCCCGCGCGCCGAGCCTGGCGGCCGCGCGCCGCTCGCGCCGGTCACGGCTTGGAGCTGCTCCACCAGGTACCGCCTCTCGTCGGGGGGCCACAGGCCCAGCACCTCCCCGCAGCTGACCAAGCCCGCCACGTCTGCGAGGGCGGGGCCGCCGCAGGCGCCACCGTCGACCAGCAACACCTGGAAGCCCGGCGTGCCGCCCGCGCTGGCGCACCGGCACGCCAGGTCCCGCAGGCCCTGCCTCCAGACTGCGAGGTCGGCCTCGCCACGCAGGGGCGTCAGCTCTGTGGCCTCGCCGCCGAGCATAAGCGCCGCCAGGCGCGCCAGGGAGCGCCGCCCGCTCCAGGCGGTGCCCACGAGCAGGGCGTGGCCTCCGGGCAGCCGCACAGCCCGCGAAGCGCGCGCCACATGCTCCGCCGCCTCCTGGAAGAGCACCAGCTGCAGCGGAGCCCCCTGGCAGCCAGCGCGCAGGGCGGCGTTGTAGCGCTCGAGGCCCTCCTGCGCCATGCTCAGCAGCCGCTGCGGCCCGCCGACCTCGTCGTAGACGCCTGCGGCGCCGCCGCCAGGGGCCAGGGCGGCCGCGAAGCGCGGCGCGCCTTGGGTCGCGAGCGCCGAAGTGTCCACCAGGTCCCCCATGCCGCCGTCCAGCGCGGCCTGCCGGATGGCGTCGAGAAGCGTCGCGCGGTCGACCTCCGACTCCAACCTGTCGGCGAACACCCGCTGGCACTCGTGCGCCCAGAGGCGCACATGCTTCGCCGCGCCCGCGGCCTCCTCGGGGCCCAGCATTGCCACGCCCTGGGCGACCCTCACGACGTCGCGCACGTGGAGCGAGTTCTGCGGCGCCCTCGGCGTCGGCGGCAGGGATGCGCAGGCCTGCTGGTAGACCCCGGCGGTGGCGGCCGCGAGGCGCGAGGCGAGGCGCAGCAGCTCCACGGACGAGCCGGCCCGTCGCAGGCTCCTGCACAGCAGCGCGGAAAAAATCTCCTCGGCCCCTGCGCACCCGACCTCGCGCATGCCCAGCATCCAGAAGTGGCGCGTCAGCCGGTCAGAGGGCCGCCCTCCGCCGCGAGTGCCTCCCAGCCCGAGCGTGGCCGTGAAGCGCGTGCGGCTCGCGCGCTGGAAGGGCCTCAGCGCGCTGCCTGGGTCCAGCCACCCCCCGTGGTCGCACACCTGCCGCAGCAGCTCGAGAGGCTGCTCCCGCACGCGCCCCTCCAGGGCGGGCATGCCGAGGTCGTCGATGAGCACCACGAACGAAGAGCCCGCCGGCGGGCCGAAGGTATTCAGGTCGCGCGCGTCCAGGAAGCTCTTGACGGCCTCCTGGACATCCCCCGCGCGCGACTCCACGGAGAGCGTCAGCGCCACTCTGCCGTAGAGGGAGCCGTCGAGGCGGTCGAGCGCGCTCTGGGCGCACAGGGTCTTGCCACAGCCGGCGCGCCCACAGAGGGCCGCCTGCTTGCCGGCCTCGCAGCACATCCATACGAGCTGCGTGCTTCTCACCATGTCCGGAGTGCGGGCCACGAGGGCCGCGGCGCCCGCGAGGCCGTCGGTGTCGGGCGCCTCCTCGTTGAGGTCGGCCCACTGGCACCACCTTCTGCGGCAACTCATGGGAGCCGCCCACACCATCTTGTTGGCTCTTGCGAATCGACGGCGATCGACGCTCATCGACGCTGAATCGACGCAAGAACGGCACTATCCCATCGACTACCAGACGCAAGTCGACGATAAGGCACCTGACGGAACTGCGAGGGTACACAAGGCTCCCATGATCTGCAACCGAGCACCACCTGCGGGCGCCGTCGTCCCAGGCGAGATCGAAGCACGACCCCGCCGTGGAGGAGAGGAGGCCGGCCAGCCTCTGGACGGCCTCTGGGGCCCCGCGGCCCGGGAGCAGCAGGGCCCTCAGCCTGCTGTCGAGCGCCCTCCGGCCCGCCTCGTCGGCCAGGGAGCCCACGCCCCACACGCACGCGAGCGCCGCGCAGGCCCCGAGGTGGTCGGAGAGGCCCCGTCCGCGGACGTGGGCGAGGCCGTCCTGGTCACGGAGGGGCCAGAGGATCGAAGAAGCAAGAATGGCATGAGCACACAAACTTTCGGAGGTACGCGCGGACTTCTTGTGGATCGGCGCCGGATCCCCCTCCCTGTGGCGCGGAGCGCGCCAGGGGGCCCAGCGCCGATCCGAGACATCCGCGCAGACCTCAGAATGTCTATGTTTCTGCAAGTGCTTGTTCTTCGAGAGAAACACGTCCATCATGTCGAGAACGGAGCTCACGAGCGCGGCGCCGTCCACGCTGAGCTCCACGCCGATCTCCCCACCCTCCACGCAACGCGCCAGCGGCCACATGAGCCAATCCTGGGGAAACGGACAGGTACGGAGACCTCTGCAGTAGACACATACGATGATAAATCGTGCTATCAGAAATCTTGGGGCACATTCTTCGTCGATCTTTGAAGGTCGCAAGGTGCCCCAGAGCTTCTGCGGGTCCCCAGAGCCATCGGACATGAGAAGTCATGCGCATGGAGCACCAGCTGGCAGGCCGATTTCGCCTACTGTACTCGTAAGACATCCTGGCTGGGTGGGGGGACGGAAAGATACCGATGCCTTTGCAGTCAAACTTGATTATACGGACGCGCGATAAAGACACTTGGACGCCCAAGTGTTTTTCCAGCGGCGCAGGGCAAAAACCCCTAGATGCAAGGGTACCTGGGGTGCCTTCTGAAACGAACCGGGCCCATGGCGACGATGGCCCTTCGAGAGGCCCCAAACCGCGAGAACACGATAAGGGCCAGCGTTCCATGATAAGGGCCAGCCAGGGCGCGACCTCACCCGAGAATCGAATACCTCCATTCTGATGATCAGACCTCTATTCTGGAGGCAAAACAACCTGCATAATGGAGGAACAGAGCTACCAGATGCTTCCAGAATGGAGATCGGACTCCGATTCTCAAGGTTGCCAGGTTGATCCTCTGGGACCGACAGCCCCAAATATTTCCCCGTCGCGGATAAATATCGCGTGTCCAAGTCGCTCCCACTGCAGACGCGGTGCGCCGACGAGGCGAGGCTGACTCCCGAGCCCCTTTCGGGGGGGAGGGGGTCCCACGCGCTTGCAGCGGAACGCGGAGCACAGCAGGCGCACATGGTAGGAGCCCGTGCTGCATAAGCAAACCTCTGGAGGCGCTGCCGTCGTCCACCCCTGGTTTCCCCGAGGTTCCCATCAGGACGTCTGTGTGCTTCTGGGGCCTCCGGTGTCTTGTTTCCTTCCATGCGGGGTCCTCAGAGCTCTGCACCATCGGGCTTTTTCGCCCCGGCCCGTTTCTTGACGGTCCCCGGGCCCGGCGAGGGCCTCCAGACTCCGAGAAGGACGAACAGCCTCCGCCCTAATCTTTTTCGAGTCGTCGGAGTTCTGGGCCTCCGTGGGGCACCTGCCGGGCAGGCCGATTGCTCTGCCTGCTGCGCCCGTCGTGCGCACGTCTGCCAGCCCGAAGGTCCAGCACGTCCCCCAGCTCCGCGCGCTCGCTCGCCCGCAGCCCCTGCGGGCAGCCTGGAGCGACGAGGTCTTTCTCTCTCTCTCTCTCTCTCTCTCTCTCTCTCTCCCTCTCTCTTCAGACATACATACATTCATTCATTCATTCATTCGTACATACATTCATACATACATACATGCATATATTCATACATACATACATGCATACATACATGCATACATACATACATTCATACATACATACACACATACAAACATACACACATACATACATACATACATACATACATACATACATGCATGCATACATACATACATACATACATACATACATACATACATACATACGTACGTACGTACGTACATACATACATACATACATACATACATACATGTATCCATCCATACATACATACATACATGCATACATGCATGCATACATGCATGCATGCATACATACATACATACATACATGCATACATACATACACGCATACATATACATATGTGTATACATATATATGTGTATTCCCGAGTGGACTCCGCGCACGATGCGAGGAGAGAGGAGGGGCCTGTTTTAGCGTGGCGAACAGGCGGGGTTCAGTCGTAAGCACACCACCCGCCCGCACTACGGCGGGCGAAAGAGAGTTGGGTAGGGGGATCCAACATGGGCCCGAGCCTGAATGCTGCGGCCGAGCGGGAAGGATGGAAAAGGGGGGGGAAGAGGGCAGGTGCACACCGAAAGGGAATCCTCTCGTTTCAGCTCCGCCCAAGCAGAACTACCTTCCCCACTGGACTCCGTGCACGATGCGAGGAGAGAGGAGGGGTCTATTTTAGCGTGGCGAGAAGCCGGGGTTCAGTCGTAAGCACACCGCCCACCCGACCCAAACCACACCAAGCGCACCCCCCCTTACTGTCAAATACAGCAGGGACCAGGCACATCGGCTGGCCTTCATGAAGAACAGCCGCTGCCTCCAGTCGATCGCGTAGGAGGGGCGGGTCCCCCTTGCCAGGTTTCCGCAGATGTAGCCGTCCCGCGCCGCCTCCCTTTCCTCCCTCAATCGCCCTCCGCCGATCTGGGGCTGGATGCCCGCCCCGCTCCCTGGGCCGACGGCCTGGGCTCGGCACTGGGCGCTGCCTTGGACTGGGGGGGGGGGGGGGCTTCCTGTGCCTCCTCCTCCACCTCCAGCACGAGACGCTGCAGCCGCGGACTGCGTGGGCGAAGTCCCGTCCAGGCACGTCCGTACTGAGATGTCGAACGTGACGAGATGGCTTTGGTCAATTCGTGTTCTGGTGCAAATAAGGTTGCTGCATCGCTCTTGCTCATTTCTGTCCAGGCTTCGCCTGTCGCACGTCCCTCCTGTACAGGCTTCGCCTGCGTTTCCGCCTCTCCCCTCGTCCTCTCCGTCCTTCCCCTGGGCCGCGGGGTCGGTGCCTGGGGGGTGGGTGGGTGGGTTCTCGAAGGGTTTCAGAACCAGGCTCGGCCTTGTACATACATACATACATACATACAACCATACATACATATATATATATATATATATATATATATATATATACATACTTACATACATACATACATACACACATACATACATGCATACGTACGTACGTACGTACATACATACATACATACAGACATACTTACTTACATACTTACATACATACATACATATATATATATACACATACATACATGCTATATACATATACAAATACATACACGCATACACATCCATGCACATATGCATACCTACATACATTCATACATACAAACATACATTCATACATGCATACATGCATGCCATGACATGGCATACACACATACACACATACATGCATACATAAACACATACATACATCCA